GCATTAATCCGTTTTTGCTTCTCTTGTAGAGGTGAGGAGGTATGAAACCCGCTCACGCCCCGCAGTGTCATAATTAATGGGTGTGCGCTACTGTTTACCCACTAGGATCCAAGTCAGCCCACCCAGAAGGAGGGAAATCCCTCCACGCACCCGCACTCCTTTCCCATAGAGCGCCCCGAAGTCATAGAATGGAACTGGTCCAAAGTAATCAACAATTCCTTGAAACTGATACTTTGGCACAGGGAAAAACTACCCAACAGATAAGTGGGTGGGTGGGAGAAAATCTAACCCACTACTAAATGTGGCTTAAGAGAATCCAAGTGAATTAAGTGTATCGCACAGGAAAAAACCTCGTGGTTCCACTTTTCCCCACTACTTGATGAAAGAGATTAAAAAAAACTAAGAGGGGTATTACATGGCAAATCTGCAACCTTGAAAAGCAGATGCCAAACTCCAATCCCATTCATCAGTTCACCACACGCCGTGACAAATGCGGGTGGCGGATCTCACAAAGGGCGTAGTGTACCGAGACACTTACCCTAATCGGAGCTGTATAAAGGCCTCCATTAGTAGGCACCGAGTCATCGGATTTGGCTCTATCGAAGACCTCACCAACTCTCTTTCCATCACCTGACATTTAGGCGCCGTCGGTCACCTGAACCCCACTTGATTTAAAAGAACACCGCATTACTGACTACCTCTTTGCAACTATATAAAGGGCACAAAAATTATTTGTTTACTTTTGGCCTCTCATTCAGTAAGCAAGAATAAATTTCCTCTCTTCCTTTCCTTTAAAATGCACTTTGGACCCAGCGGTTTCAATCACGACGTGTTATTCATCATGGAAGGTTAACTCAGGGAGGAGAGAATAGCACTGATGTGAAGTAAGTTAATACCCTTTTTAAGTTGAAGCCCCACCAGGGTGACAGCTTACCCAGCTTTTGGCAGTTTGTGACAAGCTAATAGTGTATTTTATTGTCATGATGGTAGCACCGGTGGATGGAAGGTAAAAGGCTGTTGTAATGATCCCAGCGATCGCACCCACCTATAAGAATTTTGCATCAGGTTATGCAACACCTTTCTAGTTGAGTGCCTACTCAGCCTCCTGAAGACCAACAATATTTCCGAACGTTGGCAACTATGAGTTCAATGGAGGTGACTCTGAAGTGCAGAATTGGCCGAAGAAGTAGGTCAAGGATAGGGTATATACAATGTTGTCGCCGTGCCAGATGAATAGGGTGAGTCTGCATCTACCACAGGCTCTAACAAAATAATTTCCAGCTGTACTTTAAATAAGTGATCTATGAAGATCCAGCCCTCTCCGTTTTATTAGTCTTTCCTCATTTACTTGTTAAAACAGGTCCTCCTTTGCCGACCTTTGAGGAGTGAATTTCCACCAGCTCTAGAGCTATGGCCAACATCTGGTTAACTGCATTGTAGCATAGGAATACGGGGTTTATACCATTCTGCTTCATTTGTTCACATGATTATCTCCACCAAGCGACTGAGATGCTGATGTCTTAGATAGCGATCATTTTACCCAATTTGCCAAGGCACTGGCTTCCAGTGTCACAAATATGTGTCATTTCGAAGTGACAAATCGTTGCCACAATTGCTTGCCACACAGCCCCTGTTAGTGATAGCTCTATGTGTCAGGTAGCTGAGGGGACATAGTAGATGTCCTTGAATGGGAGAATGATCCTTTGTGGACAGCAATGACGTTACTCAAGGTGGACCGTGTGGCTCAGCCCCACTACCGAAAACACAGAACCCACCGGCGACCAATTCAAGTAGGTAGTGCGTTTCTTCCGCCTGTTGTAGTTTTAAATGTACAGGATTTGTATCACCAAACGAAACAGCTACGCTAACGAGGCGAGTGCCATCTAGCATCTCAAAATGGAATCATTGCCAGCTCCGTGAAGGCCCCCCAGTCAGCAGTGGAGGCAACGAAACCCGAATATCCCAAGGAAGCGAAAAAGGAGGCAAAATGACAAACACACATTGTAAATCACAGTTACGGTAATCAAGTTTGATCATTAAGTCGACTTCTGAAGCCTCAGAACGAAAGTGATTATTTTATTCACTACAGGAAAGATGCTAAACAAAGTGGGGGTGGATTTGTGCTGTGGAGGTACTTCATGCCACAGCAAGAAGGCCTGTGCCATAACCAAATTAAAGTAGACCTGCTAGCGCTTTGATGTGATTGTGAGAAGAGCACGAGGTAGAGAGAGCGAGAATGAGAGAAGCGCCTCACCACCAAACTGCACCAAAGACGCAACACCTCCACTCACCGCGTGATCCGGTTATCCGTCTAAATTTTTGGGGCTACTCATCGCATTTCGCTCCTACCCCAAAACAACCATGTGCAACAGACCCGTCCAACCACCAACGCCAACTTGTCAATCACCTACTTAACAGGGCAAAATCTGTCCACTTTCACAACCACTTAATCAGGCCTAAATTCCTCATAAATATTAACAGTTTTTGGAAGAAAATTGCGAGTAAATTGAAGCCGTGTCAACTATTCGCTTATCCCTTGAAATCCACACCGCGGATGCCTACTAAAAACTCCATACAGAGATGACGATTTCACCTTTTAGAGCGTTTTTATACCTCCTCACTCCTTCCCACCTCTCATTGGCGTTTGGTTTGTGCGTATGAGTGTGGGTGTAGGCGTGGGTGCAGAGACGTTTTTCAGGTCTCGTTAAAGAAGGACCCATTAAACTGTTGTTAGTTAAGAGTACAGAGCTGGAAGTTCACCCAGCTGCTCTGCGTTCCACGTGTAGCTATTGGTGGAAGTGAAAGTGAAGCAGTATTGCTGGTTTTTTTTTGCCTTACAGCCTCTATCTTCAATTTTCGCATACCTTCGACGCCCCAGGTGTGGGAAAACATACCACAAGCACAAATTAGTTTATGGAGGAAGTTGAGAGCTGTTTGATGTAAGAGACCTGCGCCATGATTGATGCATGAAATTGACCGCGGCAGGGAGATTAATTACTCACCAAAGACTAGTGGTTGTGGGGTTGTTTGGAAAGGTATTGCGCCTCAGGCCTTGTAAGATAGAGTGGGTAATTGGATCCTGCGTTGCTGGGTGGATTACTAAGTGCTTCACAGAGGCAACAGCAGCGTCAAAGAATGGAATTCCCTCACCATAGTTTAATTAATTCACAATGGCTCTTGTCAACAAGTGCTTGCCTTTGGTATGTGCTTTTGTTGGTGAATAGGAGGATAGGGATGAATTCACAGCTTGGAGACTTGCTCTTCCCGCACCTTTTGCCTTCCTTTATCAGCCGAAATGCCGAAAAGACGTCAGCATATGAGCATCCCCTATTAGATGGCAGTTTTCTAACCGCAAAAGTGACAGTTCTTGAAAGTTTACTTAAGACATCTAAAAACTTATTCCCTTTCGCTACCATAACATGATATTACTCTGAAACCAGTTAGATTTCTTGGCCTCATTGTTATCTGCAAAAGAACTTTTTCATTCTCCCATATGAGAATGTATATCTTTGCCAATGGCGTCGCATATGCGCAATGCGCATCCTTTACCAAGTTGTCTTTACAAAAGGATTGGTGAGAGAATTTAAAACTGTAAGGTGGATGTAGGATGGTTCGCAGTCAAGAAGCAGTTGAGTTGGTCATTACGGTAGTGCAGATGAAGCTGTCTGCAGCAAGTGTCACAGGCATCCTTTTCTTGGCGTTTTAAAGAAAATGAATAAGACATTTAAGAGTTCTGTAAAAAGCCTATTCGGTGTAACCAAATTTTTAACTTGGGTTCACTTCCAATTAAATGATCATTTACAGGTCCCCTTTTGTCTGAATTCGCCAAAATAAGTTGGGTATATTGGTTTTTGTCCTTTACTTAGCCTGTTTTTTGGAAAAAAATAAGAAGTCCTGACCTCACGCCCTTCAGTTTTTGACTTGCCCCATCAGGCTAACCGCCTGCCAAAGCAGGATAATCAACTCTCACTCCACAATGGCCCACACAACACAGGCACATCAGTCACAGAGAGGAAATTTAGAAAATAAATCCATCCAACTAATTTTATCGTAGAATGTGGATCTGGGAGTGGCAATGCATTTTGCTTATTATGTGTCTGCTATCGCAAATTAAAGACGCATCTGAGAGACCGATTTAAAAGTCAGGACACTGAATGTGTCTCAACAACCACAATTATGGTTGAAATGAAGCCCACTTTTCACATTAGGGTGAGGATGATGACGTATTGACAGCTTCTCAGTTCTAAAAGGGATCTATTTTTAGTAAGGCAGATTAAGAATGGGGTGCTTTTCAATGAGCACGGAGGCTTTGTGTCACGAAACTCGCCTCCCTTCGGAAGTGTGTTAGGCCTGCGATGAAAGCAAGCTTTCTGCGTTTAGGTGTGTATTAAACCCCTTGTGCGAGGGGTCATATTTCTTCTTCTTATTCCAAGGCTTTCACACCAAAGGCGCCTGTCTATTCTGCCTGCTTTCGCTACTCTGTAGGTCGGTAAGTCCAATCGTTTTTACCTTTTCAGTAAATACTTTTTCGTGTCAGAAAAGTGTTTCTTGGATCAGAAACTCCACTGATATCTTATAAAGAAGATATGTTTTGACTCTAGGTTCATCATATTTGCGCCCTAAATGCGACTAACTCGAAAGAAAATTGGAGTTGATTTAAGTAGATTAATGGCTGATTCCAGATAGTAGGCAAGACCTTTGCTGGGCTCCCCGCACTCGATTAGTCCATGTTAACTAGCTGCTGGTATGCAGCTTTACTCCAAGAGTGGGTGATGCATGGCGGTCTTACCGTAAAGTTAGACTATCAGCACAAGCCAAAACACCAAAAGGAGTATACGAAAAAAACGTAGGTTAAAATAAAAGGATAGGGAATCTGAAATATGACAATGGCATTTTTGATGATGGTAGTAGCAGTATCACAGCCGATTTTGTGATGACATGAGAAGGATACAATGGACTCGGGTTCACCAGACAAGATGGACGCGTTATAAACGCCTTCATTAATTGCCATTGAAGACTCCAGATGCCCAGAGAATGATAAGAAGGATAACCAACACAATTATAAATACGGCGCCGAAAAGAACCAGACGCATTCGACAGTTCTCCCAATAGCTCTTCTCCTTTACCCTTTTCGCCGTGCTCTGGAACATCTGTGCCTGTAAATAGGATTAAAAATTACCGGAATTTATTCCCTTTACAAACTGATATTTATCCAAAAGGATAAGCTAACTTCTCTCCACATAAATGATATCAGATTGTTCTTCGTCCAGAGACTTGTTGAGATGTGATCACTCATGCTAGCTTTTATAGCAGCTATAAGGCCAAAAGCGGCGGCGTTAATCCGCCAGTTCTTGATAGAAGCTCTATGCTTAACGCTTCATGCGGCAATAATGAATACTTTACCCAACAGCAATAAGGCCTCTGACGTTAACTTGATCAAGACAGAGTAGAATATCTGAGTGTGGTAGCAAGGAGACAGAGTAAGTTTGCAGAAGATGATTCCAAGTAAAAAAGAAATTTCCAACTTACATCAGCCTCAAATTGCTCAGTTTTATCAAAAAGTTCATCGAGTTTATTTCCTCGTTCGTTGAGATCGTTGATATTTTGGTGCATCAGCATAGAGACATCAGCTACTTGACTGTGGAGCTGCATTAGACGATTCCTGTCTTGGCTACTAAACTGGACCTATTTGATCGAACATGTTAGGTTTAGGACATAGGAATAAAATTCGAATGGGTCTTTAACTCTTAAGTAAGTGAAACTGCACTTTGTTCCAAACTACGTGTACCATCGTCTAGCAGATTTAAGAAGGTAACTCATAATGATTATTTATGACATTTTAATCCCACTTTAAAGCAGAAAGGTAATAATTGTCTTAGTGAATGTTTTACACTAGCATACCATCTCTTCTGAGAGTACTCGCCCGAAATCAACTTGATGACAGTGTTCGGAACCGGATTGTGCCTCAAGAACTCTTGATGGATCAGAGGTAAATAAACATTGAACCTAAAAAAACAAAATTGCTTGGGCCAAAACCTTATTTTAAATTCAGAGACAGCTACTGTATAAGGGTAATGAATAAGGAAACGTAGTCGTAAGTAGACATCATAACGGACAATATCATCCCGACAAAAGCGTAACAACTTGAAAAAAATAAATGCCTTCCAATCTAAACCAGTAAAGTATCACAAAAAGCCACGAAAAGCGAAGCCAAATCCGGCATTTGACAACTAAGTGGTGAAGAGACAAGGAAAGGATATAAAGTCAAATATCGACCCACTCTTCGAAGAAAATTTAGTGTTTGCTGTTGAGATGCAGCAGCCTCGCTGACTGCAACATAGGATATTCCATTTGAGTTGTAGCAATTATAGGTACATCTATAAGAGGAATAAGGTTTAGAGATGCGGCTTACGATCCAAGCGGGAACGTCACATATTCTTGAATAGAACTCTCTAACTGCTGTCGGACTTCCTTGCCATAATCCACACTCCCAACGCTTTGTTCACAAAGCACACGCGGTCCACAAGCAACTGCGGCATATAGAATGCTCATAATGAGAGGCAACGCCAGAAGACTAATACACTTCCGAAATAAGGATATTCAAGAACGTGCAACTTACTTGACGAGCTTAAACAACAGCCCTCAAGGTGAATTTACAAAATTAAAAATTGTAACTTTATTTACCAGCAAAATGATGTCTTTATAGGTGGTAATTTCGTGATTAGGTAAGGCTTTAATGGACAACTTTTAGGGCATCATTTTAGTGCTGCTTTTACTTCCTTCTTACTGCAGTCACTTTTAATGTGTAGAAGCCTGTCTAAGCTTTCTGTTATTAAATAGACTAAATTTTGTAGCCTTTGGTGTAACCTAGAAGAATAATTGGGGCAAATGACTGGACATAAGCTTTCATAATGATTTTGAGCAAATGTTTTTGGGACTCGTTAACTGAATCTGTATGTAATACTTATGTTGTTTTAATGTGCCTTTCAGGGAGGAGGCAAGCAGGAAATTCGAACCTGGTAACTGGATCGCCCTCTCCCTTACCTAGTGACCGCGGCTCCCCTCCTTCTCGAATATTGTATTTTCCCTATACATCTTGTCGTCTTTAATAAAGATGTCCAAAGTAAACCAACCGGGCTTGTCTAGGAACGCTAGGAATCGGGAAGCGGAGACCGAGGAGTCTCGCTCCACATGTATCTTATTTTCTGTAGGTCTGGATTCCTCTAAAAACCATGTATTAGCAATGTACGTGAAGATTAAGAGACTGTAATCGAGATTCGTAGATCACACCACAGCGTAAAATTAAAACCTATTCAGACGGAAGTCTCCATGTGGATTAAGTTGCTGCTAGATAAAATTACGGATCTCTCTACTTGTTCAGTTTAAGGACTACTGTTTTAGACCCAATCAAGTAAAAGTGGTGAGACTTTCATGAACAATAACTTGCAGTTCCGTACCATGTTTTCTAATAGCTTATTTGGGTCAGAATTCCATTATGATATTTCTACAAGTTTTTTAAATGCCCCTTATTCTAACAAATTCGTACTTGCATAATTGAAAATAAATGGGAAAACATACCACTCAGTAATTTTGTATTCATTCAATGGATAATCCAAACCCCTATTTCCACGCCGATTTTTTCCCCATAGTATAATTTTTGAAACAAATAGAGGTGAATTTAAGCAGGGCCTTTTTTTCTTACTAAAACAGGTTGCAAGACATTTAGCACATCCTCTGATTATTTAGCTTTTCTCAGTTTCAGGGATAGATGTTATTCTGGTTGATTCATCTTCCCTTTGAGCTCATTGATTTCTGACACCAAATTCTGGATTGTCATATTGGTCTAAAATAGAAAAAAGTGGTAGCGCATACAACTTTCTCATTTGAAAACTATGGAACCTTGACAATTGACATTGTTGGTTTCATGACAAATCAATTTTCCCCTTCTAAATCCCACGTATAAACAAACCACTGAACTGTTAATATCACTTTGAGGTATGTCCAGTATCTTTTACTTCTAGTAAGGAATCGTGAAGACCATATTAAAACCTGACAACTTCATAGAATGAGGCTGTATTATGGAGGCGTCTGATTCAGTGAGTATCCACATTGAAGGGTTTATTAAAGTTGTGAATTTTTGGCAGCTCTCCTAGTATCGCGTTCTACAGCAAAAACAGTAAACAAGCAATACAGGAATAAAATCAGTTAGAATTACTACAGAAAACGCCCTAAATGAGGAAAATAAGCTATGGTAAGTTGGCGGAGACAGAGGGTCTGACGTATCTTTGTGCTGCAGGGATCGGAATTCAGTGTGGGTGGCTGTGCAACCGTAAAATGTTAGCACAGCACAGGAAAAAGTGAATTTGGAAGATATTCTGGGACAACGCTCCGCATTTTCAATTTTATTAACTCCCTAACCAGCGGCGTCACATATGTGTGACACGTCGACTTACTTGCTACGTGTATTTTTCCGGAGTGTATGGCTACCGACTACAAAAAGTCGTCTGTTATAAATAGATTGGTTGATCTCAAGGGGATAAAATAGGTCCAAGAATTCGTGGCGTGGATATAAATACATTACTTCTCCGGTTTTTCAGTAGTACCTAAATCGGCCAAAAATGCATCCGAACTGCGATGGTCAATTTTCCGTTAACCTTTCTTTAGCTCAGCGTCTCAACTTTGTCACAACAGAGCTTTAGATGTACCATAGGCGACACATTACCGTTGCCCTTAGTGATCTTTGTGAATAGGCATCGAGACCAGGAGTTTTGATAAGTCATGTTGGAACGATTCGTTAGGGACATCCTATGTAGGAGACTTGCACAGTATAATGTTTGGTGGAGGCGATGCTGGAGGATGTGCAGTATTCTGCTTGTTCTAAGTGGTGATTTCGACCTTCCTCGCTGGGTCAGCACAGTTAAACACCTGACCTGGGGTCAAGTCGTTGGTCAGTGGTTACCTGTAGTCCGCTGCTTTGAAGACGGATAAATTGGCTTTAAACTCATGGCTAAGGGACAGTAATTCATGAAACACATTCTCAGCATTTCTAGAGCATTTGAGATGGATGTGTAGGCCACGGGAACGGGGTAGTCATATTGATAAAGTCCGCCAGACGCATGATTCCGGAATTGGCCATGTTTTGTGAGGAGTTGCAATAAAAAATTAAGACTTATTGAAAATACCTAAGTTTAGCGAGACAACTAAATGAGATTGAGGAAAATAGCAAGATTCCATTCACTTCCGCTCGTGGCCACGATCACCGGCTGATACTTGCCCTCACGTCCTAAAGGGAGCTGATCTGTCCATTACGACTACTTAACCTCTCAGCAGGAATTATGCAGAATTTAGAAAAGGGGAAATCAAGGGTGAGTAAGGGAAGGCTAAAAGGTCAATCTTCCCAAAAGACTATTTCTACCATTGTCACGGATTTCCTTGGACAAGTAGCACGGCTCAAACCAGAGACAGTAAGCGGAATGGCTGCTACGTTCGTAATCTCCAGCTGTCAATACCAGAGGACACTTCTTGGAGGCCTATGAATAACACCTATTGAGATTTAACCTTCGCTTATTTTCCTTGGTAGATAAAAAATTGCTCATCTTTGGTTTACAAAATTATGGACACGACTCGCCAAAGACTCCTCCAATTAATTACAGACGCTTTATATTCAATGACTTAATAATTGAAATAAACGCCTATACTCTCTTAATATAATCGTCTTTTTTTCTTTCAAAGACGTGAAAGTCTAGTGTTGACAATCCTCAAAAGGATGATGTCAAAGTCCAATCCTCTTACGTAGAGTCTCGAAGCAACCTTGAAACTGCGGTAAAGTTTAACGGGATTATGTGATTTTATTTCATTACCTTCGTCTAAAATGTGCACCAACCCATTTTGGCCCGTAGAAGAGTACGGCCACCGACTTAGGGAAGCAAAAATTACCTCGTATTCCAGCTTTTCCATTTTGGCGAGAAGTCCAACCTTGACTGCTTGAACGGCTTCTGCAATGTTTTTAAGGCTTTTTTGAAATTCCTGTAACAAAAATTTGAGCAAAATACCAAAAAGATCAGTGGGCAGCAAAAATAAAAACTGTATATTCACAGGCAATATTTGATTTCGGCACCATTTAGAAAAGGATAGGTAACAGGACATCTTACAAGTCTGTTAGGTTGTTTTATTTTAAACACACATTATATATTATATATTACATTATACATTCAATCACAATCTCTAAAAGCCAGTATCGAAAATCACCTCAGAATCGCGTTGACCGTCGGCTTGGAGATCAGCTACTTCTTTTTCCAAATCCTTAAGCTTCGCCGATCTATTTTTGGCAATAAGTAATCAAGCTCAGAAGAGAACGAATAAACGCAATATAAAACTAATTTTTAGGGCGAACTTATGAGTTTTAGTTCGTTTTAGAAAAGTTGATATATAAAGAAATATTTTATTAAAGAAATTTACAGCATTGATATCCTGGTTTTTCGGGTTTTAATTAATCAAAACTGTGTAAGTTCAGCATGGATGGGCATTATATCATAGAAACTTGCATAATATTCTTACATGTTTGCACTTCCACCTGGAGGAATTTGACCTTGGACCGAGCCCTGTTTCTGGGAGGAAAAACCAGCCACACTTTTAAAAACGGGCAAATGTTAAGCTCGGTAGAGCTCGGACTTTTCCAAGATTTTGTTGGCTATCTGTTGTCCAGCTGTCTTTTCCAACGCGTATTTAATTAATCAAATTCGCTTGAGTTACACCACATGCCGTATCACTAATACTCCTGTTCCTTTTGTACACAATTTGTGTGAGTAAATTCTTTGCTCTTCCTTGTTCAGCCTACATTAAGTAAGTTTGCCATCACCAAACTCAGTGGTTAGCATTAATGCCAGTCTTTGTTGCTATGGCACCCTAAAAGCCATTATTTCTGCACTAGGGAAACAACGGCCTCCTACTAAATAGGAACAATGAGATAGCAGGAGCAATATTAATTCTCCTGCATTTAAAGTATAAACCCTTTCTTGGGCTTTGAGAAGAATAGGTGTAAACAACAGAAAACATGGTAGAGCAGTGCATTCAATGATTAGGTAATTTATGCCTAATTTGCTTTCCTCATTTTGTCGTTCCTGTTTTTTGAATCTGACCGCGAATTACAAGTTAGGCCCATCAGATTGCAAGATATTTTAGTACACAAGTTTTCACTCTCAATGGCTAAGGTCACTATCTCGGTGTGACTGGTCCTTGTCTGCGTCCATGGCCTCTCAGAAAACCTTTACCAGCATTAAAACTTTCATAGTGGTGCGCTTCGTTCCTTCCTCAAAGGTGGCTCAAGAAGCTGCAAGAGAGGCGAACTGATGCAATGGTTAAGAAGAATAAATTACATCAAGAGAAAGTTTTTGAAAGGTTACAAGAAAAATCGTTTGTCCCTCTACAATTCTACTTACATCCGGATTAACTTTAAAAGTCTTAAAGCAATTTTGAGGATTTGTAGTAATTGCGGTTAACTGCTCAACTTCCATAAAGTGGTTTGCAAATCTAAATATGCTTTCCCTGTATCACAAGATAAAATTATTTACGATTAACTAATAACATGGCAAGGGAAAAGTTATGTATTTGGCCAACCTGACTGGTTAGTTGATCCAACCTCTCTTGAATTTCACCCACCGACGAGTTGAGTTTCAGCGCCGCCTCCTTGGTACTTTCCTCCAGCTCCTGTAATTTGGTCTGTATTGTGAAGATGTTTGAGGTCCTATAAAGGGTAATGTAACCACTTAAGACGGTCAGGTTGTATTAACAATTTACTCGTTTCTAAACCAACCTGGCTTTGATTTCTGCAGCAACGACACCTTTCAACTGTTCCTTCTCATCTGACAGGCCTTGCTCTAGCACTTCAACAGCGAGATCTAGTTGTGCCAGGGAGTTGAGTAGTTTCTTCTGATGTGCCTTTAAGAAAAAACCGCTCATTACTCAGCTAAAAAGTGATGGCAAAGTAGTCGGTGAAGTAGGCAAACCTGATGATCCTCTCGAAGTTCATTAAGGTCGTCAGGGAGCTCTTTGGCCAGCTTTTTGAGCCCGCTTTCAACCTCTACCAGTCTGGACTCATAGGCTGAATTTGCGAGGCTGAATCGACCCAGCGCCTGAAAAGAAGTAAGTTTTGGTATCGGAAGATATCGAAGGACCATTGACAAATGGTAACTATGAATCTAGAGTGGGTGTGAAGACAACACCGCTTCATTCACTAAGACCACTGTCAACTTTAGTACCAAGTGACCTTGAAGATAATTAAAATGCTAAAAAGGGAAGGAGTTTAAGTAGAAATTCACCGCTTCTAAGTCCGTGCGGGAGTTGTTAAGCTCATCTTGCAACTTTTCGAGGGCACCTGTAACTCGGTGGTTAAGTTGGTTCGACAACTCCTCCAGTTCTGAACGCACATTCTGTCTAAAAAATTAACCTGGTTTCAACATTTCAGGGATGGTAATCTCACCAACTCTTTTGTAAGAGAACGAAAGTCACAAACTGACACCTTTTTATATTTTAGCTGCATTTCTAACCGTACAATAAAAGCTTTAAAAGGTATTTCCGATTCCTGATAGTCTAAAAATATTCATAACGATTCTGACATTGTCTATTTCTGACTGTTGCCTGTTGTCAAGTACCTTTATTTAAAGTGCTAAAAAGTCTATATCTACTTCCCGTAACCAAAAAAGTATGAGACGATTACAAATAACCAAGAGTGTCAAATGACTTCAACAGATCTAATTCCCTCCCATCTGTGATCAGGCTTCAACATTAGCATTTTTGGATTCAGTATAATGGCTTCCATCGAGATATTTACAACGACTACTAGACAGGAGGTCGAAACAAGCCTCGGTTACTTCCACTACAGTCCCCATGCCTTAAGAGTGGGTAGTCAAAAGATGTTAAGGTCATGTCGCTGTCTCAGCGCCTCTTCTGTTTGGACCCCTTGAATTACCATATTTGGTATCGTTGAGGGGGTTATCAACAAGCAAGCCAGCAATACGAAGTGCTCTCCACTTACTTGCTGGAGATAATTTCCTGGGCATTGCTTTTGAGCATGGACCGCAGTTCCACCATCGCTTCCTTTGTGCTTTTGTCACTCTCAGACGACCGGGTAGTTTGATCTAGAAGACTAACGACAAGTATAAGTACGACCATTATTTATCCATTTGATTTTTTGTTTTTAGGGAATCATACTTACCTGTTTTGGACAGTATTTTCAAATCGCAGTCGATCACTTTGAATCTGTTCCATTTTCCTCTCTATTTGTGCCACAGCAGCTTCTAGACACTGCACGGCCCTGTCTATGGAACTGCTGCCTCTAACACTGGGAACGGTGCTCTTGTTGGTGGAGGTGCTCTTCGAGCGCGCAATATTTGCCGAAATTTCAGCCTGAAGGCAGCGTAGCTCATTGCGCAAAGTGTTCTCCATTTTTGAGTCAAAATTTTTCAGCTCTTGATAGAGGTTCTGAATATCCAGTGCCTGACTTCCGCAACGCGAGCTGACGGTCTGAAGGTCGGCAGAGAGCTTTTGAAGCGCCTGATCTGTGTTGGTTTTACCCAGCAGATCACTGATAGATCTAGTAGGGATTATAAACTTCGTTTGTTGAGGTCAGTATGTCCATCAACATTTTTACCCTAGTATCCGCTAAGAAACATCAGATAAGACGTAATATCTTCACCGTAAAGAGTCAAGTAGCGAGGTCATTCTATGGCTAAGTGGCCCATTGGATTCAGCTTTCTTGGAAAATTTACGGTAGATGAAACTGTCACGAGAAGTAATTGAGATCTGGCTCTTTTATATTTGTCCAACTACACGTTTACCTAAGTGGAATCTTCTCTTCCCTGTGTTTGTGCTTTCATTCAAGCAGTATACCTGGGGGCTAAATTTGCCATCTCTAAGCTCTTCTGTACATCAGTGAAGAATCACCCACATGGGGCGAATCCTACTACACATTGACCACTTTAGTAGCAATGAAAAGTAATGTTGAGGCATTTTAATGCTATTTATAAGGACACGGGAGGCGTCTTCGTAAAGTGACTTACGACTGATTTCCTTTGAATTTCATAAATTAGACACGCAGAAAAGTAAATTTGAGATCCTCAGAATATGCAAAATTTACAAGCTTGACACGTCTCTTAGTGTAAAATACTGACATAATGGTTTCTGATAAAAGTTTACTAAGAAGACACCAAATTTATCAAAATTTTACTCAAAAATAAATCCTAGGACTGTGCATTTTAATGGCTTACGATGGGTTTGCAGCACGTGATTTGCTTCGTTGTTGAGGCGGTGTCTGAATTAGAGAAGCGCCAGAATCCAAACCATCGCTGAGAGTCCCTCTCGATGGATAAGCTATAGATGATGAAGTCAAAGTGAAATATTCAAAGTTTTGCTTTCGTTTTGAACAATAGTGTTCAAAGATCGATGATGAGTTTCACTCACCAGCAAACCTGCTCTTACTTAGCTGGAACTCCTCTTTTAAGTCGGCAATGTCGTGCAAAATCTGTTGGTTGAACTTCTCAGCCGCAGCAATGCGAATCTCGAGATCAGCCACTTGAGATGGACGGCGAGTGGGCAAAGAGGACGAGGAACTAACCATGTTGGACCAGGTTTGGCCCTTGTCCTTGTTTGCCACTAGTGTACCTTGTCGTGGAGTCCTCTGCATTATGACTTATCTGCAAAATCGTTTATTCTTTTCAAAATATTTTCAAACATCACTACAAGATCAAAGTTATGCATATTAGCACGAGGATTGTAAATTTTTGGCATACATGACCAAAATTGTGCATAGTTTAGTAGTTTTAAGATGCGTCTTATCTTCAACGTCACCACTCTGAATGTTTCGTTAGGTATCATAAAAGCATGTTAAAAATACGGAAGACTTAAAGGGTCATTCAACTCTTTCTGATTATTGAACGAAGAAGTGCCAAGTACAAAATTATTTTCAAGTCCGAATGGGTTGTGATCGTATAACATTAGGTTTTCGAAGACTGCCGAAAATATAATGCTATACTATCGACTCCCCAAAATACAACAAAACCCAACGTGGATACAAACCTAGGATAAATGGACGAAACGGGTATTTAATCTATGCGGTGATTGCGAAACTGCAAGGTCGGCAGTCAAAATTTATTATTTCAAAGCATTGGAGGTTTTTAACTATTATGCAAGAAAGTTCTTAAGTATTCCTCATTAATTACATTAGCTTACAACAAATCCACTCACAAAATCGTTATTGCAAAGCATGGTTTGCTTCAGGTTCTAAAATAGAAACATATTAAAAGTTTCTATTAAGTTAGTGTAACTCGTAATTTTAGTAAGTTGGTCACCTTAGATTTTTGCTAATGTGCCTCGGCCGAGCAGGCTAGCCTCCTGGTTGTCAGTAGCTATCCATCCCCCTGTACATCATATACATGTTCGACCAAATATTAAGTATCTTCACCTAAAGGGAAGCCTCAGAGCTCTGAGTGATGTCAGCGAAAGGCAAACCCGATGCTAAAGGGCAAATCTTTAATTTACATTGCTATGCGCTAAAACTTATCGCAACGGAGAAAAGCATATTCTGCGGATGGGCAAATATGTATAAATCCTTAACTGAGGGATTTTAAATAAAGTCCAGCTTTGAAATTTTTCTAGTCCCTTGTTGCATAAAAATGCTAGCAACAAACAAAGCAATGACTGCCACAACAAATCTGGAAAAGTAAGTTATTAAGCTATTTACGCCACTTGCATGAAGACCTTAACAAAGTGATCACACAATACCCCTCACACCTTTTTTAAGGCTAGTGTTCCTGGGACATAATACGGATACGCGTGATGGCCAGTACATTCAGCGTTCGAGAATCTACTTCCTATGCGGGGCACAACTTTATGTCTGGTATAATTGAGTGGGAATTTGACGATGGGTACAGTTGGCCCGTAATTTTTTTCTTTCAGGATTGATTACATTGTGGTGGTCTATGCGGAAGGTTTACTACAAGGAATTTCAGAGACGACGCTTAAAGAGAAGGCATTTTTTATGCTACTTTTTGTTTAGCTTTTGGTTTTCGCAATAGGATCAAGTGGGATCTTCGCCATTGTATGTCCGCTGGGCCGTCCAGTCCCGGGGCCGAGTCACTAGTCTATACTCTTCCGTAATACGATGGTGGTTTGTCCCTCGGTATTGGTAGGGCACCACATATGTACTTTGAATTATCCTTCTTGTACCTCACTGGGTGGGCTGGCCTTCGGGCCATACCAGTAGCCCAGACACCTTCTCTGTTCTAAATATATATTCTGCCAGAGTATTAAGCCTTCTTTTCGTCTCCAGAGAAGTCCCAGGACGCTAAACTTCTGTACGTCAGGAGCACATATTTTGCATAAGGATTATTCATTCTTCGGATCGCAATGTAATACGAAATTTGTTTATCTCACGGTTTTTTGGGGAGATTTTTGAATTGGCCTTTGTACCATGCCAGATGGGCTGGAAATTTGGCCATGTCAGTAGCCGCAATACCTTTTTCATGTCAAATACATCTATTTTCTCCGAGTATTATGTCTTCTTTCGTCTTCAGGAAAGTTTCGTGAGGCTACAGCAAAGAAGTGCCGAAATGCTGACGTGGGTGTGTAAAATTGGAAATACAGTCAGCCAAAATAGTCGCAAATAAATTGCATTTTTTCAGCAAGTTTTTTAGAGGCAGTGCATTTTGAAGTTCAAATGTTTTTTAAGGAAATACTTAGCCCTAAATAACTTAGTAAAGTATCTTAATACAGCTGTACTGGCCGTCTGATTAGGCTATATTTTATAATTAAGCTCATTTTAGCTTTTCGCTATTTTTGTGCTTTTCAAAAGGGAAATTTTGCAGTTTCCATGTACAAAAGAGCAGTTTTAGGTCATTTAGGCTTCCCCATTTGCGTGCATTAACCCATCACTCCACAATGAGTGAGCATTTGGATTCACCTGAAGACAAAGTAACATTTTTTAGTAAGCGACTCGCTACATTCTCTTACTGTTCTTCCTCTTTAGATGATACTTCTCAACATTTAACAGCAACGACTGATGTCCGCGATTATGCTCGCCAACTCAGTGAACGAAAGCGTCTTGAAGACCAGAGGCGCCAGGAGGACAGATTTCTGCGTCGTTCACTTCGTCAATCAGACAAGCTACGTTCTCTGGCTCGCGCCAAAAAAGTTGCTAAGGAACTTAGGGAGATCGTTGCTGCTAGGAGTAACCTAGCCTTTGATGACAGTGAAGGTAATTTGGTTTACTCACTTTGTATGTTTTCCCCTCACTTAAATTAGAAGGTATAAATCACGGTGATTTCGTTAGCAACCTCCGACGAAGGTTAAAAAAGGGTGGAGGTGCAGATGGCGATTCATCGGATATTGATGGACGGGATGATGAGGAATGGGAATGGTTAGCAAACAAAGTCTCCGACAGATCTGTTCTCCAAGCTTTTAACCTCCATAATGTTATTGCCTCAGTTTTTGAAAGAACTTGCGAGAAATTGGGTGATATCCCTATGGAGCTTTGGGCTGGCGATGACTCAGCCCTCCAGTCACTCAGCGCAGTCACTTGGGACCTCAAAAATATCCCTTTGAATGGTCGAACTTCCCAGATGGAGGAACTCCTTACCATTTTAAGAAAACCTCAAGTTGTGGTGAGTTATCTATGGAGCAAGTTGGGTATCTATTCTTCATTTCTCCCTTCTAGGAAACACTAACTGCTTACGATGACGTGAAGCAGGTTTGGTCGGAGCAGGTAGAGAAAAGGGAAGTTCCTGTTCAAGACGATTCGGATGCTGGCGCCATGGAAAGAACAGTCTATCCAAGTCCTGTTGAGGGTTGTTACAAGATTCTCGCTGTCGATGATCAAGGCAACACTGTTTCAACTCCTGACGGAACCACTCTTGTCAATGTTATCCTGCAAAAATCGGGCGAGGACTTCTTTGTAAGCTCAAGTGGACTTAATTGCTTAGTAATAATAGGGCGCCACCGTACGAAATGAGGGCTCGGCGATTGTTATTGGAAGAATTATAAGTGGAGGGTTGATTGAACGAACTGGTAACTGGACTCCCTTTTAGTTGATCTTTCTTTTTACCGTCCGGAAATGAAGTTCGGATTCTTACATCTTTCAGGCCTACTGAATGAGGGGGATGAGCTACTTTCGGTCAATGGGATCGATTTGATGGGCAAGGACGTGGATCATGTCTCGCATATCCTCGTTAGTGGCAGATAATACTCATTAGTTTCTGCTCAAAATCAAGCAAAATATGGGTTGTTTTACGTGTCTAAAGTACACGTTCATAGTGTGCTACTATAACATTTTGCTACTGTCAGAACCTTCTGTTGCTTTCAGAACTCGCCCACTCTGTGATTAGGTAATCTCGCATGTTCTCTGTTTCGCTCAGTGCCATTTCGTCTCGTTCTTATGCATGTGCATGTGCGCATTTGTGTGCAATCAGTTTCTGATTAGGCGGTGCTCTCTGCTATTCTCGATGAAATTTTTGAAGTGTAATATAACTTGGTCACTTGGTCTTTATTAGACAAATCTCGATGGAAATATTGATTTGCTGGTTGCGCCGGTGGTTCCGGTCACAGAGGCATCGCTTTTTCAGGAGGAGCCTGTGGTAAGTGCCTACAATCTCGATTCGCCTCATTGTAATTTATTTACTCCATATTACTTGAGAGGAAATTGCACGTTCTGGGAATAGAGGGGTCTGCCCAAGTCTTTGTGGGTTCCTTTTTTAATTTCTACGAGTGTGGATCAAAGTCCAACGTGGTGGGTTTATACACCCACGACGAAAGCCTACTCAATTATTTAGTATTTTCTCAAAAGAAACGATGCTTATTATTTCCTTTTGCACTATCAGGTGCTAGCAGAATCGACATGAATGGAATGGCATGCCATTAAGGTAAAGACCGGAGAGCCCACCTGCTTAAGTGTGCACTCCTTGTAGCTGTCGCTGTTACCGTGTATTTGGGAGGTGATTTTAAAATTGGCTATATGGTCTTCTGTTTGCATTAACTAATGTCTTCTAGCAAGATTGGTGCTTCTCATGGGAAACGGATTCACTCTTGGACCTTGGGGTATTTGTTTTGTCTTACCAGCAATTGAACGCTCTTGCTCAAATAAAGCGAAACAGGTGTGTGATTATATAGGTGATGAGTTTGCAGGGTGTGGTTTGTTGTGTTTCTGGAATCTACACTGTTGTCTACACTACCTTCGATGTAGACTCCCTCCGGTTGACTCACTATTCAAATCCAGAAGTTTCTCGTTGAATTTTTCAAGTTACTTTCTAAATGTGTTTTCAAAATAATGAGTTATTGAAACGGTATTGTGTGTGGGTGGTTTTTCTGCAGGCCCATTTGCGAGCTCTCTTCAGCTACGAGCCTTCGAACGACATCTACAATCCCTGTCCCGAGGCTAGCATCGCCTTTGACAAGGGCGACATCTTGCGAATTCTAAACACTCGCGATCCCAACTGGTGGCAGGCTCTTAGGTGTGTTTTTTTCACCTCTTCTCATTTGAGTTATGTGCACTCATCCGTCTCTCGTAAGTGAACTTTGGCCTTTTGGGCGTACGTGCATTCATTACCTTTCTCTTTTTAATTTTCATACCCACGATGAGACTTTAAGTGTCGGATGATTGGGTGTCAAATTCTCTTGCTTTCTTAGTAGTTGTTGGATAGCCGATTTCTCGACTGTTTAACAAAGTTCACAATATCTCCTTGAAATCGCATCCCATGTTCATGCCTCTGTTCCACTTCATTACCAATTTAATACTGTCCAGGTCATTCTCATATTCTTGTTGATGTCTAGCCCTCAGCATAGTTCATCTATGGACCACTTCGTATCTTCTAATTCCAGTGTTACTTTATTTTTCGGTTATTGCGCATAACTCCAAACTGGAGTATTAGTGAACAGTCGACGCATTTATAATATCCACTCTGCAAATCCAGTGGTCCACAGCAGATGTTTTTATTTTTAAACATTTCCTGTACATCAGATAAAGTTGTCATACTACTACTGTACGCGACACGAGTAGAGCTCCGCACCACCGTCATGGATGTCAAATCGTGGGAGATTGAAAGGGTGGATGTGCTGTATCTCTCTTCTGAGTACCTTTTTCCTTCACAGAATCGAGGAGGCGGGTGCTGTGGGTGTGTCTGGTTCAATGGCGGGCCTCGTTCCCTCTCCTTACTTCCAGCGCTATCGTTGCCTCCTCCGTATGGAGCGGGAAGGCGCCTACGCGGAAGATGCTGCAGCCGGCTACTCGGAGTCCGAGGCGTCAGAACAGGATGACGCTACAGCAGATGCTGAGCATGGCTTTGTTGATAGTGATATCTCCTCGATGGACACGTCGAGGAGTAGTTTGAGTCTTTGGATGTCGTCTAATATGAATACTCCCACCTGTGGAAATGATGGACAGGGCTTTGAGTCACTTGGTGAGATTTATTTATGTGGTGGGAAGTTAGATGTCCGGATTCTTGCAGTGCTCTTTATTGGATAGATATAATGTTGTATTCTCACTATTACCTGATATTGGCGGGTTAATGCTTTCTGAATTTACCATTCTCAGCAGCTGACTTTGAAACTCATATCCGTTTTTAAATCATTAAATTCCACTCTTATTGAGACAAAGAATACCTCTGGAGTTCCCATGGCGTCGGTCCAAAACAACTGAAGAAGTTGCGGAGAAAGAAGTCACGTAAAACGCGCTTTCTCAGCATGGTCACCAGTCGCTTCATGCATTCCACTCCTCGCCGTGCCAACGAGTACGAGATCTCCAAGGGTGCGCCTTCATCCTTCCATCCATCCATCCATTTAATCTCGATTCCCCCAAGATAACCTCCTCTCTCTCCTCTTCACAGAAATTGCCAATCTAAGACAGACCGATGGTGATCAGTTGCAACAACTGGTGGAGGAGTCAGTACGCGAAAAAATTCGTCGACCTAGTCTTCTGACCTATGAGCTGGTTGACCTCTACTACCCTCAGCCTGAGCGCAAACGTCCTCTGGTTTTGGTGGGCCCCAAACATGTTGGCAGACAGCAGTTAATTGAGGGGCTGTTGCGGAGCGAACCGAGGCGTTTTGCTATGCCCGCCATTCGTGAGTCAATGCTCTCTAATCGTGTTATTCTTCGACACTTCCCATCAATTTGCCTTTTGATAAACCATGTCTGTTTTGATCGGCGCATGGTTTCAAAGTTAATAGTTCATGTGAATGCAATCTTTTGCTAGAAGTTTCTCTCTCGCTGACAATTTTTGATAGACTGTTCCTCTCTTGATCGGTACATAATGAACCAATATCTGACATTCTATTGATGGAATTTCTGGTCTTATTTATGTCTGCCGACTATGGACAAGGCCATAATCATGGTGGGTAGTGGGCGACTCGTATGGCATTCGATTAGCGTGATAGATTTATGACCCAAGTATATTTTCAATAATCCCAAGCAGACCGACGATGACCAACTGCACCAGCCAGTGGTCACCCTCTGATAAATTGACTTCTCCTCACTTAGATACCACCGATCCTGAGGCAAAATCGACAGAGCTCCAGACCTATGAGACTGTGACTAAACAGGACTTTCATCGTTTGCACAAGGAGCGGGCCTTTGTTGAATGGGGCGTCTGCAATCACCACTACTATGGCACCAAGGTTGCTAGCATTGAAACCATCATCAAAGCTGGCAAGGTCTGCGTACTTGCTCTTCGACCTGATGTGAGTTGGCGTTGTTGTTGTTGTAGGATAGATTCTTCTCTTTGTTGCGATATCGAAGGGTGCCTTTAGTATCTATATCTATGAAGTTAATACAGACCTAACGATGGCGTATATCATGATATTTGGAGTCGAAATGGATGGTTCTGGAGTCTACTAGCTGAAATTTAATGACACTTTTGTAACTCCTTCCCCTCCTACCTCTGCGTGACAGTCAATTCGAGCCATTAGACGAACGCCCTTCTTGCCCTGCGTCATTTTTGTCTCGCCGCCAGACAATCTGGAGGAGATGCGCCAACTCAGCAAACAGTGGACCAGCTCGGCAGCCAACATCACCGTAAGCACCTCCACAGTTTACTCTAAATGGCGCAACAGTTTGTTTGGACTTTTAAACATTTTTGCCATCATAAGCTGTGTTTATTTCATGATGGGACAGCTTAGAAAGACGAAGTGCTGCTTAACTGTATCCCAAATAATCCCTGTACATCTCATTGATGGGTGATGACTTTGGAAGTTCTTTGCTAACGAGGGTGAGCCGATTCCCATTACCGTAAAATGAAATCGGCATGCATCGTCCAAGACATACCTGATGAAGAATCTTAAACATAAGTGATAGAGAAACGCTGGAAGGCTAGTGACACCCTAATCTGGCAAAAGGCGAGAACTGAGAGAACAAGTACCTGTACCTATCGGCGAAAGTAACTAAACGAGAAGGGGCCGACAATTTGC